TATTTCTTCTAAAAGTTAATTCCGCTCCATGATAAGGCAAACTATTTAAAACCCGAATACTGATAGTAAGGGATATTTCTTCGAAACTAGCGATAGCCACTAAATAATAAAAAATTAATAAAAACTTAAATAAATTATATTGCAGACGTGACTTTATTTTGTAATTGCCCTCAAGCAGAGCAGAAAATAAAGTAAATTATTTAAATGTACATCGATACATTTTTACTATCGATTTTCACTATATTTTTGGACTACAAACACCAGGATTGAAGTCGAACCCTGACAAATAGAGTAAAACATACGAACCTGCGCTCACAAATTTGACTGCCTTCGGGCCCAACACTTAGTATTTGCCTATAAAAATTATTTTTTAATATAATATTTTATTATAATTTTTTAATTAAATTCGTTTTATAGTCAATAGTTATATGATAATGATACGAGTACATTTGTATATAAATATCTTTAGATACATATGTTAAGTACTGTTGACTGCTGTTCTTTTGGCTTTTTTTCCATTTACTCGGAATGGAAAACTGCTACCGAATCGTTATTTCATTTAATATTTATTTTAATACAAAAAGCTGTGCTGTCCTTACTCTTACTCTAATTTCGAATTGATTGATGGAACAGAGAGCGTGTTGTGTACCTTCTACAACTAGTTTTAATAATGCAGTAATGCCAAAGTTTCTTCATTATAAATAAATTTTTTTTTTTGAATCCATTTATTTTATTAAAATCTGTAAGTAATAATTATTAATATAAATTGTAATAGTAATAATTACGAAGGAAAAAAGAAAGGCGCATATGGACTATGCCCGCTGATATATCCATATATATTTAAAGTAAAAGTGTGTGATCTACATATATCATAAATAAATATATATTACTGTAATGTGCAACCACTTCAACCGAATAAAATCATATTGATTTATTCGTCGTGGAACCCCAATATATACCAACGAAGTTTACATGTCTAACGATCGTAAGTCTAAGAAGAGTTGCAGCCACAGTGTTTTCCCGGTTTTAGGAAAATATTTGTTTCTCTTTAAACATTTGATTCAAAAATTTCCAAAACTTAAAACTATTTTTAAAAAGTGCTATTGACTGTCTACCATCACTTTTCACGATAGACAAGATATTGAAAAAGTGTGATTAAATTACAAAACAAGTTTTTCATTTTTGAGCACGTGAAAACGAAAAACAACTTTTGTATTTAACTTTAAATGATATTAAACGACGTTTATAAAAAATAAAAATTGATTATAAAATAATAAAAACCATGGGTCAAACGGAGAAGTTGAGTTTGGTTATCAGTTCTTCAATGGTAGCAAAGTTTAACGCTGAAACGGCAGTAAAAGATATAGCAAAGGAGTTTAAGGTGTCACGTCAAACTGTTCAGTATCAAATTAAAAAGTTTAAAAAGCATAACAACATAAGGAACTTAACAAGATCAGGTGCTAAGCGCTAAACAACGCCCACAGAACACCGAGTACTTCTAAGTAAATTCAAAAATAATATTTTTCTGAAGACTCAATCTGCTGCAGATGAATGGAATTTGATGGCCAAAAATCCAATTAGTGAGCGCACTGTTCAACGACGTTTAACTGAAGGATTTTAAAACAGTAAAAGCTAAGGACGTGCTGTACAAATCAAAGGTAAACAAGCTTAGATAACTGAACTTCGCTGAGGGACATTTGCACAAGCCAAAAGAGTTCTGGAGAAGCGTTCTATGATAAAAGTTTCTATGGGTATAACCCATCAAAAAACATTTTTCTAAGATTTCCAAAGGTGCAAAAGCGAAAAAGACGTCCCGTTTTTCATAAAGTCGGCCATGGTGGAGACACTATCATGTTCTCATATAATGAACAGGGTGACTTGATTCCTATCACCGGCTCGATAAACCACAGTCAACATTTGACTACGACTGTGCCTTTTTAAAACTCGGATGACAATTAAGTTTTGGAGGGATGTTGGTGTTACCACTTTGAACTGGCCACCTCAAAGTCCACATTTAAATATTATAGAAAACGTCTGGTCTCTTTTGAAACGAAAGGGAACAGTTTCGTTAAATAAAACCAGAGAGGAGACAATTTTTGAAAGTACTTCCCTTTGAAAAGAGATGTTTCCACAGATTCTTCAAAATTTACTGAATTCAGTACCGACACACTTTTAAAATTTAAAGCCAAAGGAGGTTATATATTTTACGAAATTCTTCTTTTTTTATTTACTTTGGTTAAGTTTAAACTTTGTCATCTTAGTATTATATACTTATCAAAATACTTAGTCAACATATGAAGTTACTAATTAATTTTTGTTTCTTTGAAAAAATATTTGCTTATTTTGAAGTTTTTATTTGTTATAAATAAAAATAAAAAAACATACTAGGTTCCTTTAGAAAGCCATTTCAAAGTTAAACTCAAAAATGCACGATTTTTATTTTGTTAAAATACTTACGCCGACTAATGTATATATAAATATTATGTATAATACATAAATATAATATAATTAAATTTATTTATATAAAATTACTAGAATTTAACCCGGCAAACGTTGTTTTGCCGTATAAATTATTTCTACTGATTATTTTTGTTTTAAATAAATGATAATAAATGTATTGTATTGTACTGCCATTTGCCGCAGTATTGTGAACTATTTCCGTTGCTCCAAACGAAGTCATTTGGAAACATGAATTATATATGCGAACAGGAACAGGAACTGTTCAGGAACAGATTTAAATCTTCATGCGTGCCAATGAGCCAGCCGTTCAATGGTTCTGGTGGTCTCTCAATTTCTGTTAGTTGCAGTTTTCCTGACAACCCGTCTGCGCAACACAACCCGTCTGATTCTTGTTTGAATTTGAGTGCATGACACTAAGGACATTCTTTGTCCATAGAACCAATAATCACTTTCGGATGTGCGGAATATTCAATATCTGGCTGGTACTTGAACGCAGGACCAAGAAACGAAGTGGATGCTCGATGTTATTGTTGGCGTCGTTACATAAAATAATAAAAAAAATATTTCTTTTTCAAAAATATAAAAAAAAATTATGTCAAAAAAATAAAAAAAAATTTGTTAAAGCAATAAAGATATTTTTGCTGAATAGGGACACCCTAATCACTTTAGCGATATGAAATATATTTTACGTCCTACTCTCATACCTACCAAATATACACAAAAAGTTTCATGACATTTGGTTAAGCCACCCGTAACACGAGATTTTTATATATAGGATTGAACAGTTTAAAATAAATAAAAATAATAAATAAAACATCTTGAAATAAAAAAATTGTTTGGGTCCCCTAAATATTAGATTCCTGATCACCTTTTATTTATATGGGCGTTTTGGTTCGACTTTTCGGTTTGTTTATTTTCATATAGTCCACTGCTTTTTATGGTATAATGACTTTCATTCTGAAAACGACAGCTCCGATAAATGCTGTATGTTGCTGTTTTATATAAGTAAAGCAATCCAGAGAGCACAATAGAGCTGATGGTCGCAGTGCTACATCTGCTCTTCATAAAAAAAGCAATGCAGATGTAACAAATGATAATATATGGGCAGATGACCGATGTCATTTGATTTTATATAGTACATGCTGTTACATTTTCGTTTATATTCTAGATGTTCTTATTTATTACAATTATTGTTTCGGTTAAATTAGTTTAATGTAGTATTGATGGAGTATACCTACATAGCTCTTAAAAAGTTGCAGCAGACTGATTTCTTCATATCTCCAATTAATGGTTTAGACATGTTTTGGGTCACTTGACTAATAATACCTATTACTGCTCTAATTATGAGCTCACTTCGGTCTTAAGTGAATCTGGTTTCGACGTCCATGTCTTATCACCTGTTATGATGCGATTCATGAATGTAGAGTCGTTTCTATGCTCAAAAATCATTTCTTCACACACGTTCTTTCGGTATTCTTTTTGCAAAAATTCAAGGTGTTTCGGTACAAGTCGAGCTGCAACGCGTCTCATGCCCAATATATCATGTAGAATGTGATGAACGGATCCATTTGAGATGTTTAAATCACGAGCAATCTCCCTTTCAGTCATACGACGATCTTCCAACACAATTTTCTTGATTTTTGCCACGTTTTCTTCGGTATTTGATGTTGATGGACGTCCAGAACGAGGCAAATCTTCGATCACTTCTTTGAATGATTAATACCACTCGTATGCCTGTGTTCGAGACATAGAAGAGTCCCCGTAAGTTTTATGCACCATTTTCAATGCTTCAACATATGAAATTTTGTTGAAAACACAAAATTTTAAACAAACTCGTTGTTCAACTGAATTTTCCATAGTAAAAATCGCTAAATGCACTTGAGGGAGTCTCACATTAACAGCTGCTGTAAACTAACTAATTGACAGATGGCGCTCAAATTTGTACCATATGTCAAGAAAGGGTGTACCAACATAACAAAAAAAATTTTTGAAAAATCTATTAATAAAATAGTTAACAAAATCCGGGTACTTATTGAGCAGAAGGTATTACTGCTCTAATCATGAGCTCACTTCGGTCTTAAGTGAATCTTTACTTATTTTGAATTGTTGATGTCCTTCTGTTATAGAACTAGAATAGGTTAGGAATAGATGCGAACCAATTTTATACGTATTATATATGGAGAAAATAATGGTCGACTATCTTAAAAAGTAAATTGTTAAGTTTCAACAACAAAATTGGCACATTGGAAATGGAGCACACAAGATTAAAAGGAATGTGTTGTTTATCACTTAAGACTGAAAAGGAAGTTCCATCATTTTGCTGGATGGCAGGCTAAAAAGTTTTGCAATATTGGTCCGTCTCCTTTCGTATTAAAAGACACCTCTTTTAAAATTTTTAATCCTGGATTATTATAATTCAGACTAATTTAGTGGTGGTAATATAATCTATAAGTTAAGTAAAACGATATCTGTTATAAATTTTATATATTTGTTTTATTACTTTTTCTTAAACTGATATTTTTTATAAATAAGTTGTTTTTACAAATATGTTTACATGTAGTCTATTTAAAACAATGGTTTCCGAAGCATTTTTCTTCTTAATTTATATTTGTTTCAATTTTATGGTGACATATTAAATGGACGCTTCCAATTTTATAAGCAAAAATTCCTGATAACTGTTTTCCGTCAATTTCATTGAGTTCAGTGTTGTTGTTGACTTTAGAACAATTAGAAAGCAACATCACAAAATTTAAAAATAAAATTCAAACAATTTATATAATAAATAAATCTAAAAACTAAAAAATATATGTACAATATTTAATATTTATAAGAATGCAGTGATGACAACGCACCAAAAATGTCAAACGCTTATATACTTTGCCTATATCTTATCATGCGTTGCAGTCCTTTAGTGACAACTTTTACCGAACGATTTTTAATGTACATAATTGCTGATTTTCTTTGAAAGTATCTTTTGTAAGAACTTTTTTACTATTGCCAAATTTATTCGGTAATCATTAATATTAAATTCAAATTTACCTATTATAAATAAGAAGATCAAATTTAGATTCAGATTCAGATTCAGATTTACACAACAGTATTTCGAAGAGACCATATATGTGGTCACTAACTTAAAACATTTGATCTGGCGTCGCAATTAGCGCATTTCTAAGCCAACAATGACCGCTTCTCTTTGCTATTTATTGTGTATGCAGTTAATTAATTTCATTAATTAAAAAACAAGTCTCATCATTTTGTATGTTATAACTCTCATGTGTTGTTCGACAGTAATGATTCTATACTAAATGGATTGTTTCTACGAATACTAATTGGTGAAGTTTGATGAAGGGATTGATGCGATGAATTTTGTAGTTTGAGGTGAAAGTCAGACAATCTTGATCTCGTGGAGAATGTGAAGTGCTTACTACAACTGTCAATAGTAGTGCCATTATCGTCGTCGGATGCGCGTAAATCACTGTTTGAAACAGGACTCCCAACACCGTTTGGACTACCAACTGGAGAGAAGCTATTGCCTGCGATGTCACTACTTCTAGGACTCCGATAAGCGGCATCTTCAGCATCATCGTCACTGTCAGTACCACCAACTACATCAATTTGTATGCCATCATCTTCTAGATCTGAGTCGGAAAAAGTTCCATTCGCTTTATGTTGTGATATATATTCAGCTTTTAATGCTTCTATGTCCACGGTAATACCTTTAGCTTGCAGTTTACGTGCTTGCCTGTCTATTGCTTTTGCCAGCTTCTTTCTTCTCCGAGCTCTGTAAAAATCAAAAGTACAAATTTACTAACTCAATTGCAAATAACTGCCAACTATATGCAAGCACTTTTTATTGTAATCTTAAATTAGAAATGTTATAGAAATTGGGAAATCTATTTTGACCTTGTATTTCCCGCAAGGATCAAATTTATTTATTCAGTCAAATGAAATGAGAGATAATGTCTCACGACTAAGGCATAGATAACTGCTTGGGTTTCCAATAAAAATTTAGTGTATATAAATAAATACGTATCTAACAGATAATAGATGACCCAAATTGATTGTCATTACGCATGCTATGATTTTTATTTTTAGATAAGTGCAACAAAAAGCGGGTCTTAGTGAAGTTGAAGCGGAACAATTGACTTGATCATCGTACTGAACATTTCTTAAATAGTAAAAGCACGACTAGCTTAAGCGAAGCCAGTGGCCGTAAATGAGTGACTACTTATTTATGGGAAAGAGATCCATATGATAATGCTTATACAAGATAGCAGAGCAAATCATTTTATAATTCTTTTTATTTTATTATGTAAGACTAACAATATTTAAATATGGTAGATGATGCCAACGTCTATTTAGCAATAAACGAAGAATCTTTACAGCAGCATTTGAAAATACTCAATGGTTTGTAATAGGTCCAGAAAGGCATTGCCGAAAGGGCAATAATTAATTCACCTTTATCAATATGTTTCCCATTAATTGACTAGACTAATATATATTTTAATTAGAAATTTATATTCAAAATTTTGCTCATGAAATGGAACACTATTTTTCGTCCAGTATGATTGAAATTTTAAATGAAGCTTTAACTTTAAATATTGTTTTCAGTTCCACAAGAACGACATTAAAATTATAATTATAACATATGATACTCATGGTACTGATTTTCTAAACTGTTTTTTAGTGCTCTTACAGCAAATATTACCTTTCTTTTGCTTTTAATTCATTTGGCGGGATTGGCTCTCCAGAACAAGTTTGGGGCTGTGCATTATGAGCAGGTCTTCCAGGTCCCTTTTTAGTGTGCTCGCGTTTTCTCACTTTAGCTCGCCGATTCTGGAACCATACCTATCTGAAACAAAGTGCATAATTTTAGGAATAGTTAAGTGTGAAAAACTCATTTAATTATATATATACAATAAATTAATTAGCTTTAATATCTTAATGTATACGTAAAAACTATACTATTGTATTGTTTTGCAAATCTGATTTAACTATATTTTGTTTAATTTATATACATGGACACATAATTTATTATAAAGATTCTGAAATAAAATTTGATATAAAATCTTTTCATATTATTTGTTTTCCTGGTTAACTAAGAAGGAGGAAAATGGTCACTGCGGACTTAAAGATAATGATGGAATGATTAGAACATAATGGAAAACATTCTGAAGTTAAAGTTTACTGGATACATAGCCGTACTGGATATATTTAATATCATGGAAAAAGTAATATTGTAACTGCCTAGTACCTGTATCAGAAACATTTCCATTAAGTTAATGGCCACTTCATTTGCTCCAATAACTATTGTAATTTTGCCTATCTATTTTTTTATAATACATATATTATAGTAGTATAATAACATGTGTATATTCAGATCAATTATTCACAGTATAAAAAGTTGTTTTGTTCTAAATTGTATAAATTTAAAATGTTAATGAATTATTAGATAAATGAATTTTAGTACAAATAGTTTTGGAGGCCACTTATGTGTTCTAATAAAAGCCACTTATGGATGGAAAAAGCAAAAACTTTTTTCAATATTAGTACTACTATCAAAACTGATAGATTACGTTTATTTTTAAAGAAAATATAAAACGAAAAACTTGTTTAACAAAAAATCTTACCGCAACTCTGCTTTCTTTTAAATCCAGCCTCATAGCTAATGCCTCTCGCATAAATATATCAGGATAATGACTGGCAGAGAAGGCTCTTTCTAGCTCTTCTAATTGCCAGGAATTAAAATTTGTTCTAGATCTTCTGCGTTTAGCTGCACTGCTATCTTCGTCACCATCACCGGGAAACCCTAAAAATTAAAATTTAAATACAAAAAGATGTTGAAAAAATCACAAGAAGTTTAAAACCTTATTTATTTAAAATGTATAATCTCATGAAATGTCCAATTAATATTTTTATATCTTATTGGTAAGAAACCTCTTTCGAATAGAAGAGTTCCAATTTGAAAAGTGATTTGCATTGTGTGGAATGCGATAACTAGTAAAACTCTTCAAACAATCATTTACAATGTTAGCAATCCACAGCAAATTATATAGAAATTTTCTCTAGACGCAATAGTATTTTAGTTTTCACAATCAGCAATTTATAATAGTTAAGCAAATGTGTACAGCTGTGGGATATCCGTTAGTTCTAATAAAGAGACAGCACATTTACTGTGGAATGTGTGTCGCTCGTGTCCACGGTTCAAATTTGGCAGGGTTTTATACATGATACTTGCAGTCTAAAGGGTTATATGGTTCATTTTGAATATGGACCTTATACATGGAATATATAACTTTGCGCTTTTCTCTTTACTTATTAGTTTGTGCTTTTTGAAATGTAGTATTAGTGTGAAAGCGTTAAGTTGTTGAAGAATGAACTGTCAAATTTTAAAACTGAATGGACACAAATACCATCCGGTTGCAATTTTAGTTTGTAAATAAGCAGCAAAAATTTATAAATCTTAATACTATAATAACACAACCCTAATGAATAATGACGTTGTGTTTGAAAACGTGTGTCCCTGGTCCCAAACACATATGCACACAACTAAATCAATAGATGCTATCAAACATTAGTAATGATAAATATTTAACGATATCAGAAACACCTTTGCGGTCAGTCAAAAAATTAAATTTCTAATTAATATTACTAGTCCTCTATATTAATTGTTTATTATCCTTTTATTTGCTGTATATTGACGTAGCAAATATAAATCCATATTTAAAGAAGAAATAATTAATCTACCACATGTAGATGTTATACCAAAAGAATTACTGGAGATTCGTCTCTTTTTTAATAAACAAACAAAAAAAAGTATATTTAAAAAAAAATTGAATCCTAAAACGCAGAAAATGCCAAGAGCCTTCTTGCTTTATGTAAACTAAAGCGAAGGGTACTGGTAGTATCAAAATGTTGATATTTATAGAGGTGAACTATTAAAACTGCCTTAAGAGTTATGATTAATTGAGCACATAAAAAGTCACCCTAAATTTGATTTGGTGCCATAGTAAATAATAATAAAAATAATAAACTCCAAAATTAAAATATAATTAGTACTGTTAACGTTTAAGGCCATACAACTTTTTCTAGTCACTCGTTCTCATTGTATTCCCAAAGGTAACTCATTAACTTGAAAACCAACCAAATTTTTTGTTTCGTGCACAATCTCATATCTCTCATATCCAGGGTTAGACTAGTTTTGTACCCAATAAATATCTATATATATACGGAATGTCACAACTGAGAATCATTTCAGTAACACAAATTCTGAAAAACGTTCTCGAAAATGGCATGTGTGGATGAATGACCAGAAATTCATAAGGAGTACTTATTTATGCATAAGTCTGTGGTGTTTTTGTTGTGGTTGTAAATTAATGAAAACAAATCGTAAATATTCATAATAATATATTTCAATTAATTGGAATACTAACGTAAAACAAAACAATTTAATTATCTTCAGTGTTATTAGAACCGCAACCACATTTCTGACAATAATTGAAGAACGAGATTGTTCGTAGGCAAGCGAATGAGCACTCATTTGCATTCATATATCGGCTTAACGAAAACATGAAAACTAAGTCATAAAGTTGACACTACGGAGACACCCGAACCACAAGCGAACCCAAGCAAGCCCAAACACAAGAAGTAGTCGAGCAATTCCAGTATCATTGCAAGCAACTGCACGCAGTCTTTCCGTGCTACTGAGCAGACAAGTTGTGTGCAATGCAACGGCAACGTTGCGAACAACTAATTCAGTGCCGTAAACGAACAGCCATTTTACCACTGCTCATAAACACTTCCCTGCATCGATTTGAACTAGGGGTGTAGCGACTCAGAACACACCCACTACGAAATCCGCAAATATGAAATTACTCAATTCGTACACAAAATGTACGTTAATTGCAGTGTTGAGCAGTTAGGAAAGAAATAATCAAACTAACGCATTCGAATATGGTACCCCGACAAGAACAAAGGGTACTATGGCACAAAAATAGGTACCTTGCATCAAAATGTGTCAGTTCCATTCCACTTCAGTTTCCAATAGTTCTGAGAAAATAGTTTTTACTTTTGAATCTTTACACATCTTTGTACGATTTCAAAAATCATGAAATCGTTTCTACTACCGGAAGTGGGTCTCCACTAATTAAGTTCTTTGTCACTAAGCAGATTTGAAATTTAACATTTTTAGATGCGGCAGTTAGGTTCCAATAAGGAACGCAATTTAAATGGAGAATACATGATTGGATCTGCCGGTCATTAACATGTGGAGAGTGTAAGTGGTATAAGTGGTAATTAAAAAAATTCGGTGATTCAATGTTAAAATAACTTTTTTCGAACTAAAAAATAACATATTTCTATTCATATATTGGGAAATTTTTTGTCTTTGAATTTAAATATTACTGATTCATAACTCTTTGACTCATTTTATTTAAATTGAGCTCTGAATTTTTGCAATTAGTTTTATGGAATCCTTGATATAAATGATTTTTACTGAGTTTCGAAAAGCAGAATAGAGTTTTGTCCTTGTTTTTGAACCAACACAAAATTAAATACTGTATTGCTATCTATTATGTGCTATCTAATATGCTCTGAATAATCTGCATCAACATCTGTTCCAGTTTCAAGGAAATCGTTCGATTTACCAAAAAATAAATTACACAGGCAAAAAAGTTAAGGCAATTCATAGTGTCGATAAAACTCTCAATGGTTTGCCAACGATACGACAAAGATAATTCACCCATAGGGCTTAAAATATTATTCGAGCTGTCCGAAGCGTAGTGGGTTACGCTTAATATTAAAGTTTAACCATTTATTTGAGCCTCTCATGTCCTATTATGTGTATAACCCCAAATATATATTATATTAAAAATATAGCAGATTTTCGAAAATTCAAATAGACGTGTTCGAATATACACGGACTGCTAAAGAAGTCGATGTTCGAATATTTTGAAGCAGCATTAATCCATAATACTGACAATAGATAGTTAGTAGTTATTGGTAAAACAAACTTCTTAAAAAAGATTAAACGAATATATATAACAGAGTCTCAAAAAGCGTCAAAAATTAGTGTTAGAAGTAGAAAATCCTAAAAATTAAGTTATTAATCCATATATTTTGGTTACTCCTAATGTAGCAATGAGTTTCCTTAATATTTATTGCTTATTAATATAGAAAGAAGCTGGAGAACTGAAGTAAATTTCTGAATGAATGTAGACACTTTCCCTTCTTTGTTGTGTATTCGTAATTTGACGGACTGATTTTGAGTAAATTGGATATGTTCCACACTAGGGAAGTCTGCTGAAAGCTGATCCTTTTTATCCAACACACCATTCGGCACAAATTTGGAAAAAGGAAACATAAAGCAAAACTTTTAAAACACTAAAAAAACCTTCTTTCTCGATGGTTGTCTTGCAGTTCTGAAAAAAAAATTCAATTGCGAGGTATTAGCACGATGCAATCATTAATACATTTTGTTTTAATAAAAAACAAATAAGAACCCGACTTTTATGTGCAGCCAGGTACTAGTCCCGGAAAAATAAGCATACACTGCAGCAGTTCAAACCTTTTAAAAATATGCATACGTGACTTCTTCAGAAATATTAATTTAGTTGCAATAAAATTTATCTTACAGAAGATGTAGCAAAAAAAATAAATTTTTTTTATCGTTCTTTACCATCCTCTAATTGCCAAATACTGGAAACGACTATACTAAAGCAATACTAAGCCAATCAACAACTGTCTATACTAAATAGAATCGAACTAAAATGTATTGAGTGATCATATATAATATCATACCACTGACTTTTGAAGAGAAATTTAGCTTGGAATGCTCTTCTAGTATCGATAATATCATGAGAATTTACAATGGATTACATTGGTTAAAAACTGTGTCTTAACTGTGTCTATAATATCTTAAAAATGTATATCCACAAGCTGCTTGAGATTCTGAAAGTTGTAGATATTGTAAAATATGTGATATGAAATCACATCTTGATGAAACTGATGACCCCGTAAACTTTCAGACCTCTAATTAATATCTTTTTACAACGATTGCATTCACTTTCCAACCTGCTAATTGCCTTATGAATAGTTTTGAAAATTTTTCTATAAACTGCCATTTTTTAAATGAAAAAAACTAGAAACTAGACTATAAAATGAACATAAATAACTTTTATTTAATAAAGTTAATATACATATATTTAATTATTGATATAATTGATACATAGGTAAATATAATTATTGAGCATCTCTTAGGGGCAGTGGTGTAACTACATTTTTTAGGCCCATAAGCAAATTCTAACTAACGGCCTCCTACTAACATCTTTTTAAACCCTTTAAACGAAAAAATGTAAAAAGGGTATGTTAGACTTGTCAAGATTTTCGTAACGCATTAAAGGAAACGTCGAAAATACCATAAAGTATATATCAGTATATGTATACGTATACTTTTTCAGTTCAAACTACTCTCTCAGCTTTTGAACTCTTCGAATGAAACTTTACACACATACTTTTCGGGAGCGGACCCTGTTCACCATTTGATTTGATTGAAATTGGCCTACTGATTCTTATAGATGTAGGTATGTATTTTTATTTTTCCTGAGCAGCATGGCTTACAATTTACTGGATCCAATAACTTTAAATAGTATAACCAAAGTCGTGGCACTGTTCCATATTTTGTTTTTAAATTAATAGTATGAATAGTATGAAGCATTGAAACTTCTTCTTTCTTGAATAGGATCCTTCGGAAATGGCCCTTGCAATCTCTCGTGGTCGGAAGAATTATTAATTAATAAGCGTTTAATATCA